TCATACAAAGATGTCCAGTTACAGTCACATGACTACATGCCACCCATTGGGCATAGTCTTGTCTATGCTGATTCATTCAACACGTTTCTTGGGACATGGTCCACTTTTTGAAGACTGTTCATGCCAATCAGATACCATCAGTAGCCTCATGTGATAAGTCATAGATATTTAAATATTACATTTGTGACTATGGACCAAAATGTTAGCAAAAGTATTCTTTAAGAGGCATCTGGAATGAGGAATTGGGGCCCCATGTGAGGAACGGATCCCTGAGGTAAGGTAGATCTGTCTGTAAGGACCTCCCCACTTGATGTCAGACAGAATTTTCATTCTATGGACCTCCCCACCTGATTCCAGCCAGAATGTTCATGCCTTGGACCTCCCCACCTGATTCCAGTCAGAATGTTCATTCCATGGATCTCCCCACCTGATGCAAGCCACCATCCAGCAGGGTGAATTTGTTTGATCATACATAAACCTTTTCAGTTATATTCATACAATGAAGTCCAGTTGCAGTCACATGACCACATGCCATCCATTAGCTATACTCTTGTCTATGCTGATTCATCCAACATGTTTCTTGGAACAAGGTCCACTTTTTTCAAAAATGCTCATGCCATTCACATATCATCAGTAGCCTCACGTGATAGGTCATTGATAACACTGTTCAACAAATTTTTATTTTTTGCCAGTTTTGGAAACAAAAGGATCCATTTCTTAATGAATTTCACATTCTGAGTTCAAATATAACAATGAAATTTGTCAATTGGCTCTAGTTTTTCTGTAAACAGAAAGTTTTCTACTATAGGCGTAATGACTACATAATGCACAATAATTATATAGATAGATGTCTTTCCACAAATATAAAGCAAGTGATATGACTACATAACAAAGCCTAAATGGCAGAATATATTGCATAGGATTACCAAGAAAAATGATAGCCATAAGCTAAGTTGAATCATTTTAATACTTAGGATTCTCACTAGTTTTGTCTTCAGTTTGTGTCGGTTTTGCTTCTCTTGGCTTTTCTCTTGTATTCGAGGAAAGGGCTATCTCTTACAACTGCACGTGACGACACGCTTCAGGTTCTTCCTCACTTGACTCAACCACGAAGGATTCTGGTGCTTTAGGAATTGGTAGCCCCTCTCCATGAGGAACTGGACGTATTGCCGATGGAATATTTGGATAGTGCACAGATAACTTTTTCTTCTTATTTAGCCCTTTTACAATTGGAGGCACCATACAAAAGTAACAATTACTAACATGATCTGTTGGCTCTCTCCAAATCATTGGCACAGCGAAAGGCATAGATGCCTTTTTTCCATTCAACCATTGCTCCAGTGCCGTCCCACAAGAATTGCAGCATATATGTGGTGCCCAGCTCTTGTCCTGGTCTCCTATCTTTCAGCCAAAATACAAGTTGTAGGCTTTCTTAATCATTCCTGTTATCCTCCTTTTTTGTGAGATAAAAGTTATTTCACCGCAGATATAGCAGAAATTATCTGCTTTATTCACACAAGTTCGAGGCATTACTGAGTAGCCTATATAAGCATAAAACGAAATGTAAAGACGAACTCCAATCAGCTACAGATACTGCAGCTTTTATGCAGTGAAGTGATGCAATTAAAGGCTAATATTGCATCATCTCAGTATACATGACATTTTCTATTGGTCACCAGTATCAATTGCGCAATATGCAGCTGAAGTTGCATCATCATTTTGAATGGCTTACGTCATTAGATGGGTGAATATATCATGGAAACTAGAGCCAATCAACATTTTTTAGCGTCATTTTCGTTTTCAGCACCCCAAAATTATGTAAGATTAGCTAATTTTATGCCCAAAACTTTTTACCTGTTGAACAGTGTAATTAAGTATTACATTTGTGACTATGGACCAAAATGTTAACAAAAGTATTCTTTAAGAGGCATCTGGAATAAGGAATTGGTGCCCCATGTGAGGAAGGGATCTCTGGAGGTAAGGTAGACCTGTTTGGAAGACCACCCCAGCAACCAGCCACCAGGGAGAATTTGATTGAACATACATAACCCTTCCCAGTTAAAACCATACCTAGAAGACCCATTACAATCACATGACCACATGCCATCCATTGGCCATACTCTTGTCTATGCTGATTCATCCAACACGTTTCTTGGAACAAGGACCACTTTTTCAAGGATGCTCGTGCCATTCAGATACCATCAGTAGCCTCATGTGATAGGTCATTGATAATTAAGTATTACATTTCTGGCTATGGACAAAAATGTTAGCAGAAGTATTCTTTAAAAGGCAGCTGAAATGAGAAACGGTTCCCTAAGGTAAGGAAGATCTGTCTGTAAGGACTTCCCCACCTGATGCCAGCCAGAATTTTCATGCCATGGACCTCCCCACCTAAGGCAAGCAGGATGAATGTGTTTGAACATACATAAACTCTCCCAGTTATATTCATACAAAGAAGTCCAGTTGCAGTCACATGACCACATGCCATCCATTGGCCATACTCTTGCATATGCTGATTCATCCAACACATTTCTTTGGAACAAAGTCCACTTTGTGAAGAATGCTCATGCCATTCAGATACCATCAGTAGCCTCATGTAATAGGTCATTGATAATTAGGTATTACTATTCTGGCTATGGACAATAACATTAGCAAAATTATTTTTTAAGAGGCATCTGGAATGAGGAATTGGTGCCCCATGTGAGGAACGGCTCCCCAAGGTAAGGTAGATCTGTCTGGAAGACCACCCCAGTAACCAGCCACCAGGGAGAATTTGATTGAACATACATAAACTCTCCCAGTTATATTCAAAGTAGTCCAGTTACAGTCACATGACCACATGCCATCCATTGGCCATACTCTTGTCTATGCCGATTCATCCAACATGTTTCCGAGAACAAGGCCTACTCTTCGAAGAATGTTCATGCCATTCAGATGTCATCAGTAGTTTCATGTCAATGATTATTACATCTCTGACCATGGACAAAATGCTAGCTGGAATGGGGAATTGGAGACCCTTATGAGGAAGGGTTCCTTAAAGCAGATCTTCTAACGAATATTATAACTAGCGTAAGTAGCCTCCTATGATAGGTCATAGATAATTATGTATCACATTTCTAGCCATGGACAAAAATGGTAGCAAATGTATTCTTTAAGTGGCAGCTGGCATGAGGAATTGGTGCCCCATGTGAGGAAGGGATCTCTAAGGTAAGGTAGATCTGTCTGTAAGGACCTCCCCACCTGATGTCAGCCACCATCCACCAGGGAGAATTTGTTTGAACATACTTAAACCTTCTCAGTTAAAATCATACATAGAAGACCCATTACAATCACATGACCACATGCCATCCATTGGCCATACTCTTGTCTATGCTGATACACCCAACACTTTTCTTGGAACAGGCCCACTTTCTCCAGGATTCACCATTCAGATGTCATCAGTAGTTTCATGTCATGAGTCATAAATAATTATTACACCTCTGACCACGGACAGAGTGCTAGCTGGAATGGGGAATTGGAGACCCTTGTGAGGGAAGCCGGATCCATATTTTCACTTAAAAACAGTTCGCAAAAACAGGAACCCAATAAGTGTACAAAAAAAAGTGCACTTAGGGGTGTGCTTTTAGTCCACCCCCTGAAGGGGTAGGACCTCTACCCTGATCCCCCCGGGTGCAAGGCTGCTGACAGAGACAAAGGTTTCCAACATGGTCCACCTAGCCAAAAGGCCCTTTTTCTTGTGATCAGCCGACCACCAAGTACTTGGTCGAGGGGCTCTCCCAAAGAGAAAGCCCCAAGGATCGGGGGAGGAAGGAACCTGAGGGTCACACATCCTCCCCCTAGATGTCAGGGCAGGTCCAAGGGCTCACACCCTCCATCCAGTGGAGGAAAAAAAAAAAACACGCAGGAAAGTGACAAAGTGACAAAAAGTGGAGAAAAAAAAAAATAAACAAGTGGCCATGCAATGGTGAACTGGCTAGGCCCTGAGGCCCGTAGCAAAAAAATTGCCTAGCCCTCACAGAAAAAGTGATTTGAACCGTGACCATGTGCACTTTTCACACATGGGATCCCATTCCCATGTGTTACTAAGAGCACCCTGAGACGACCACTCTCGGGCCACTGCTCTGCGGACTCTCCGCCTCTCCAGTCCCTGCCAGATAAGGTAGACCCATTCAAGTTAGGAGGAACTGGGCCCATCCCGTTTTCCCGGGGGAAGAATTACTACCGGACCCCAACTGCCTGTGGGCGCCTCGGTTTCTCTTCCAGCTGGTACTAACCTTCAGAGCCCCCATCATACCAGCCACGGGAGGTGCATGCTGGGCAGCTGAACTAAATCCCGGAACTCACTGTCACCGGCTTCTGAAGCCCACAGCCAAGATGGCTGCCACCAGCTATTCTTCAAAGGGCGCTAAACGCGAATCCTGGAAAGTAAACAATAAAATCCCGCTACTGACAATATCAACATTCGATCCAACTTTTGAAATGACCTGAAGCCGAAATCAATCTGAGATGTCAGGGATTGGTTTTCCGTCTCCTTTAACCGGCATCCCCTTTGGTGGCCCCTCGGACGGAGGTGATTGCTAGATGTGAAGACGGCCGGAATGGCTCTTCTGAGTGTTCTTTACAGATTCGGTTTGAGGCGGATTTTCCACATGAACAGTCGAATGTTTGAAGACTATTTCAGATTTGATGCTTTATAAATTTTGACAGATGAATCTCAGCAATCGCTGCAAACGGCTTCTACTGCCAGATTGTTCCATCTTCTGTGTAACCCCTCAGTGTCCAGGAGGCCAGAGGAGCCCAGACCCGGCACAGTACAGAGAGGTGACACCCAGGAGGGCTGAGACTGGGGATGGAATCTGGGGTGAGGTTGTGGTCTGTTGAAATTTTGTTTGGGATTGTAGTAAATACTTTATAGTGCAGTGATCTCCAAAGTGCAGCCCATGGGTCAAATGTGGCCCTTTGCTTGCCTTTATCTGGCCCTTGGGGCACCGATCTTCCCAATGATGGGAGGCATTATATCTCCTACTGACACCATTGATGAGATACCATTCCCCCAATGACACCATTTATGAGGCACCAATTCTTACACTGATCCCAACCATGCTGCACTATTCCTTCCCACTGATATAAACAATTGGACACTATCCCTGCCTCTGACACCAATGATGGGGCACTATTCATCCCACTGACACCAGTGATGGGGCTCTATTCCTACCACTGACACCTATGAAGGGCATTATTTCTCCCACTGATATAAAAGGTGGGGCATTATCCCTCCCACTGACACCAATAATGGGGCATTATCCCTCCCACTGACACCAACGATGGGGCACTATTCCTCTCACTGACACCAATGATGGGGCACTATTCCTCTCACTCACCAATAATGGGGCATTATCCCTCCCACTGACACCAAATGGGGCATTATCCCTCCCACTGACACCAACGATGGGGCACTATTCCTCCCACTGACGAACACCAACGATGGGGCACTATTCCTCCCACTGACACCAATGATGGAGCACTATTCCTCCCACTGACACCCATGATGGGGCACTATTCCTCCCACTGACACCAATGATGGGGCACTATTCCTCTCACTGACACCAATGATGGGGCACTATTCCTCCCACTGATACCAATGATGGGGCACTATTCCTCCCACTGACACCAATGATGAGGCACTATTCTCCCCACTGACACCAACCATGGGGCACTATTGCTTCCCACTGATATAAACAATTGGACACTATCCCTGCCACTGGCACAATGACAGGGCACTATTTCTCCCACTGATATAAAAAATTTGGTACTATTCCTCCCACTGACACCAATGATGGGGCACTATTCCTCCCACTGCCACCAATGATGGGGCAACATTCCTCCCACTGACACCAATGATGGGGCAAAATTCCTTCCACTGACACCAATGATGGGGCACTATTCCTCCCACTGACACCAATGACAGGGCACTATTCCTCCCACTGACACCAATGATAGGGCAACATTCCTCCCACTGACACCAATGATGGGGCAACATTCCTCCCACTGACACCAATGATGGGGCACTATTCATCCCCAATGACACCAATGATGGGGAAACATTCCTCCCACTGACACCAATGATGGGGAAACATTCCTCCCACTGACACCAATGATGGGGAAACATTCCTCCCACTGACACCAATGATGGGGCACTATTTATCCACCTACTGGGCACAGCCATTATATGAAATGTTTTAATCCCACTGACTACCAAGCCTGAAACATAGTTCAAAAACTCCCTCTACTGACTTCAATGTAAAGTTGCGTCTCATAGACGTTCATGCAAAGTCAAGTCCAGGTTGACTTGGTTTCCAGCCAAGTGCATCCTGAATTTTTGGTTTCGGCACCAGAATTTTCATTTCGGTGCACCACTAGGGGAAGCAATCATAGACACTAATCAGACCTAAACAATCAACCCCGGCCCCACTGATTACAGAGGAGCTAAGTACATGTACCCAGCAGCCTGCCCCACACTGGGACACTGGGGGGGGGTTGCTACCATCAGAATTGCTCATACCTCTCATACATTCACAGCATCCGATTATTTCTATGTAGTACAACGTTCGATGCATTCGATGTTCACCACCAACATACAAAGAGACGATTGGCTGTACCAGTTGAGTGGTCAAGAGATAGAAAAACACAGCAGGGGCCAGAGTGAAGTATGGGGGGAAAGGAGTGGGCAGTACTAGGATGGGGGGGATGGGGGTAGTGGAGACGATGCCCAAGGAGACTCGATCCCAAAGCCACACCTTGCTAAATAGTGAGCAGCCTCCAATTCCAATGGCAGTAGGGTGTGTAAGGTGTGTAGGGGTGTGTAGGGTGTGTAGGTGTGTAGGGTGTGTAAGGTGTAGGGTGTGTAAGGGTGTGTAAGGGTGTGTAGGGTGTGTAAGGTTGTAGGTGTGTAGGGTGTGTAAGGTGTGTAGGTGTGTAGGTGTTGTGTTGTGTGTAGGTGTGTAAGGTGTGTAGGGTGTGTAAGGTGTGTAAGGTGTGTAAGGTGTGTAAGTGTGTAGTGTGTAAGGTGTAAGGTTGTAGGGGTGTGTAGTGTGTAGGTGTGTAGGGTGTGTAAGGTGTGTAAGGTGTGTAAGGTGTAAGGTGTGGTGGTGTGTGTAAGGTGTGTAAGGTGTGTGTAGGGGGTGTGTAAGGTGTGTAGGGTGTGTAGGGTGTGTAAGGTGTGGTGTGTGTAGGGTGTGTTGGGTGTGTAAGGTGTGTAAGGTGTGTAAGGTGTGTAGGGTGTGTAAGGTGTGTAAGGTGTGTAGGGTGTGTAAGGTGTGTAGGTGTGTAAGGTGTGTAGGGTGTGTAGGTGTTAAGGTGTAGGGTGTGTAAGGTGTGTAAGGGTGTGTAAGGTGTGTGTAGGGGTGTAATGTGTAGGGTGTGTAAGGTGTGTAGGTGTGTAGGTGTGTAGGGTGTGTAGGGTGTGTAGGTGTTGTAGGGGTGTGTAGTGTGTAGGGTGTAGGGTGTGTAGGTGTGTGTTAGGGTAAGGTGTGTAGGGGTGTAGGGTGTGTAGGGGTGTAGTGTGTGGGGTGTGTAGGGTGGTGGTAGGGGTGTGTTGTAGGGTGGGGGGGTGTGTAGTGTAGGGTGTGTAGGGTGTGTAGGGTGTGTGGTGTGTTAGGTGTGTAGGGTGTGTAGGGTGTGTAAGGTGTGTAGGGTGTGTAGGGTGTGTAAGGTGTGTAGGGTGTGTAGGGTGTGTAAGGGTGTGTAGGGTGTGTAGGGTGTGTAAGGTGTGTAAGGTGTGTAGGGTGTGTAAGGTGTGTAAGGTGTGTAAGGTGTGTAGGGTGTGTAAGGTGTGTAGGGTGTGTAGGTGGGTGTGTAGGGTGTGTGTTGTAGGGTGTGTAAGGTGTGTAGGGTGTGTAGGGTGGTAAGGTGTGTAGGGTGTGGGTGTGTAAGGTGTGTGTAAGGGTGTAAGGGTAGGTGTGTAGGGTGTAGTAGGGTGTGTAGGTGTGTAGGGTGTGTAGGTGTGTAGGTGTGTAAGGTGTGTAGGGTGTGTAGGTGTGTAGGTGTGTGTGGTGTGTATCTACTTGTAAGGTGTGACAGGTGTGTAGGCTTATAGGGTGGACGTAGGGTGGATATACATTACTGGACATTTGATAGTGGACGTGGGACATTACTTTCAGGTGTTTTTTAAAGGACTTGTCAAAAACTTAGTGTGTTTTTTTTTACCCCTTACTCTTCACATGGGGGGTGGTATTTTGGGGGCCTCCTTTTTGTTAAAGGGGGCTTTCAGATTCAAATATGGCCCCTTACCACAGACCCCCACAACCATCAGGCCAGTGTTGTGGGGAAGAGGAGCTTGTTCTCATAAACCAGGAGACAAGGTGCTTTGCCAAATATGGCGGGCGGCCTTGGCACTCAAGCAAGAGATGGGGGGGATACAGGTCACATATTATGATCTAGGTCTCCTAACCCACAGATCCCCATAACCACCAATCCAGGGTTGCAGGGGAGAGGCCCTTGTTCTCATCAAACAGGAGACAAGGTGCTTTGTCAGGAGGGGGCGCCCTGACTCACTGCTCCATGGCTTTGCCACTCTCACTTGGTCAGTAGCAGCAACGACAACAAATATGGCAGGCAGCCCTGGAACCCAAGCAAGAGATGGGGGGGGGCCAGAGGTCACATATTACGATGCACTCCTTACCCACAGACCTCCACAATCACCAGGTCAGGGTTGCGGGGGAGAAGCCCTTGTTCTCATCAACATGGGGACAAGGTGCTTTGCCAGGGGGCTCCCTGATTCACTGCTCCATGGCTTTGCTGCTCTCACTTGGTCAGCAGCGACAACAAATATGGTGAGCAGCCTTGGCACCCAAGGGGCCACAGGTCACATATTATTATGTGGCACTCCTCACCCACAGACCCCCATAACCACCAGTCCAGGGTTGCAGGGGAGAGGCATTGTTTTCATCAACAAGGGGACAAGGTGCTTTGTCAGGAGGGGGCGCTCTGACTCACTGTTTCATGGCTTTGCCGCTCTCACTTGGTCAGTAGTGCTCCACGTCCACAGACCCCCATAACCACCAATCCAGGGTTGCAGGGGAGATGCCCTTGTTCTCATCAACAAGGGGACAAGGTGCTTTGTCAAATATGGCGGGCGGCCTTGGCACTCAAGCAAGAGATGGGGGGGCCACAGGTCATTTATTATGATGTAGAACTCACCCATAGACCCCCATACCCATCAATCCAGGGTTGCAGGGGAGAGGCCCTTGTTCTCATCAACCAGGAGACAAGGTGCTTTGCCTGGAGGGGGCGCCCTGACTCACTGCTCCATGACTTTGCCGCTCTCACTTGGTCAGTAGCAGCAGCGACAACAAATATGGTGGGCAGCCTTGGCACCCAAGGGGCCACAGGTCACATATTATGATGTAGAACTCCTCTCCCACAGACCCCCCATAACCACCAATCCAGGGTTGCAGGGGAGAGGCCCTTGTTCTCATCAACAAGGAGACAAGGTGTTTTGTCAGGAGGGGCGCCCTGACTTACTGCTCCACGGCTTTGCCGCTCTCACTTGGTCTGTAGCAACAGTGACAACAAATATGGCTGGCGGTCTTGGCACCCAAGCAACAGATGATGGGGGACCACAGGTCAAATATTACGATGTAGCACTCCTCACCCACAGACCCCCACAATCCCCAGGTCAGGGTTGCAGGGAAAAGGCCATTGTCATCATCAACAAGGGGACAAGGTGCTTTGCCAGGAGGGGGGCGCCCTGACTCACTGCTCCATGGCTTTGCCGCTCTCACTTTCTCAGTAGCAGCAGCGACAACAAATATGGCAAGCGACCTTGGCACCCAAGGGGCCACAGGTCACATATATGATGTAGTACTCCACACCCACAGACCCCCACAATCACTAGGTCAGGGTTGCGGGGGGGAGGCCCTTGTTCTCACCAACAAGGGGACAAGGTGCTTCGCCAGGGGGCGCCCTTACCCCTGACTCACTGGTCCATGGCTTTGCCGCTCTCACGTGGTCAGTAGCAGAAGCGACAACAAATATGGCAGGCACCAAGGCAAGAGATGGGTGGGCCACATGGCACCCCCCCCCCCCCCATGAAAATCCAGAGCAGCCGCCCCCCTTGTCGTGGCCCTACAGGAGATTAGCTGGAACACTGAAGGAAAGGCCAGAGTTCAGCTCTAAACTCAAACCTTAAAGATCCAAATCTACATCTCAGAAGTAAGTGAAGGCCGCTCGGCTATTGTGCCTTCCCCCGTTCCAGGAGCGAGCGCACATTTCCCGGTATATCTAACGTGTAAACAATGTTTTCATGGAATGATGGCAGGATTTATGAACAGCCCCTCCACCTCGATCCGTCTGTGTTCAGGCATCCTAAATTGGAAATTAGCTTTTATATTGAGGCTGCGAGGCCGGCTGCCTCCCCATTATCAAGTGGAGGAGAGATGAAAGCTGTCAATTTATTTCAATAAACGGCCATTTCCTCCAGACCGGCGTCACAAATCGATGGGACGCCATAAAATCTGCCCACCTCCTCCCGGAGGCCTGACTGGATCCAAGGTGATATTTATTGTCTCCTCCATGGGGTAACCCGTTTACCGCCAGAAAAAAACACTCAAATCAAACTGCAGAAGGTTCCTTGTTCTCGGCCATCTTTATACATCTTTTGTTGGATTCTACGGGAGGAAAAAAAGATCTCCGTCTTCAAGTGATGAATACAGAGAAGAATCCACAGGAAACAATATGAAAGTACCAGAGCTGTAACAATGTAACACAGAAAGAGAACTCATCTCCAGCCAGGAGCGAACAATGGGCTCCTGTAGGCTTTGTTTATGAAGGTGGATCTACTGCCACCTCCTCAACCGCCATGCTGGAAGTTACCACAGCCAAGGCCATGCTGGTACAAACAGTCTGGGTTGCAGTGTGGTAAAAAAAAGTTACAACTTGTTCCATCTGGTAGATGGAGCCACCGCCAGCCGCACCGAGATGCCCAGGACCACGCCGTGACCATTTAGTAATGCATGTGGTTGTGGCAGGCTAGTTCACACGGGCATTCAGGAGGTCAACTCTGAGCAGCCCGGAAAATGGCTCCAAAGCTTCGGTGACACCTAAATCTACAACAAATGCAAAAAGAAGTCCCCATCTCTTTTCCAAAAAATGAGCCGCAATGAACAGCATGGTGCTGTGGAACCATACACACCGA